GTGCCAGTTATCTCTAAACTGAGGTTGGAAATGACCTAACTGTTACTTGTAATGTGACAGGTGAGAATTCCTAGTTGGGAGCAGGCACTTTGGGGATGGCAGTGAGACCTTCCCCATCACCAGCTGGAAACCAGCAAAAGGCCAGACTAGTGAGATGGAGCAGTGGGCACAGGGTTCTTTATCTCAGGGTTTGTAAGACCTTTTTCCTTAGGTTCCTGCTGTTCTCCATTTCATTCCAGTGTAACCCCAATGCATGGGGTACAAATAATGTCACATACCTGATTTTTCTAACTAGTTATTTGGGTCTTGAAATGTTTAGTAGAGCAGAAAATCCTGTATTTGCCTTTGGGGACTTTCTTCTATAATCTTCCTCTTGAATTTTCCAGGAACCTAAGGGATTCCCTAAGGCCACAGTGACGATCCTCTCCCACAAGGCATTGGGGCAGCGCGAGGGCATGCTAATCGTTCTCTTGTTTCCCTTGATTCTGTTGCTGCAGCGTTGGTACTAAAACTGGTTTTAACAGGATCTCCTCGGCAGCTGGGTCTGGGGTCTGGATGTTGCTCTCTAAAGACCTTTAATAAAATTTTCAAAGAAGAAAAGGAAAAAGAAACTGGTCCTGCAGTCGGGTCGTGCCTGACCTCTGCTCCTGGGATGCCTGTGCTGATCCAGTTTCCGCGGTCTTCGTGGTGATCGACACGTAAACTTCAGCATGACAGCTTGTTTAGTTCTCATACATATGCTTGTATGAGGTCATATACTTATAAATAAGTTTAACTACAAGTTAGATAGTAGCTGAGGTGCCCTGAATTATAAACCACGAAGAACAGCTAATCACCGTAATTTGTAACATTTTCTGAAAACTACCACATTTAAATGTTACACCTAGGAAAGAAAACACACATTGGGTTTTATTTGGGATTCTCAAATAGTTCCAGCATTTAAGTTCAGGAAGAAATTTTTCCATTCTGCCACTAATTCTCTGAGCATCTGGGGGATACATTATCTCATTAAATCTTCGTAATACTTTTACGAGTATTAATAACTAACTGCCTAACAAGACAGTAAGATCCCAGTTTTATAAAGGGAGACTTTGAGCTGAAGAGAAGCAACTTTTCCAGGAACAAATAGCTGTTGGTTATAGAGCTGGGACTTCTGAGTTCGAGATACTTTCCATATGTCAGGCTCGCTCTAGTTAACTTACTGAGCTGTACTGCCCTCAGTTCATGACTACTTCATCTTTTTTTTCTTTTTTAATTATACATGCTAAATTTAAAAGTTTGTAGATTGTACAAATTTGAAGTATATGGGACAATTGAAGTTTTGATACTACCTTTGATATTGTGTGAAATAATCTAAGAATTTAATATATTTGGTAATTGTGTTTCATATTAGTATTCAAGTAGTAATATTTATTTATCACCTTTTTTATACATAGCCTTTACCAACTGATTGTCGACTACAGAGCCGGAAAGATACCAAATACTTCCCCTCAAAATAGCGACCTAGGACAGAGTTCTGGTAATAAGTTACTCTTGTTGGGCCTACCATAGATAAGGAAGATTGAGGAACTTTTAATAATGAAAGAGCAGTGATAAAAGCCAGTGTGTAAATTTCATGTATGTTTTTATTTTTTAATTAATTTTTTCCTAAAGGTCTAGTATTCAGAATTATTCGAGAAGTTAATTGTAGGTAATTTAAAATCTGGGACAATATTGTCTGAAAAGAAATTCATTTATTTAATCATGGCTCCTGAAATCCCATATTATATCTTTGTGTAGATACGAAAAACAGGTTTTTTACTTGTTGTATGTTTCCTGTAACATTATAACAAGTTGGCCTTGTTACAGAACTGGATCTTTAATTTTTACAGCAAATGGATTACATTGGGTAAATGAATGCTAGTTATTGCATAGTGATTAGCCTCACTAAAAAGTGATCGTCTTTAAAACTGGGAGCTTGGCAATACCTTCCTGGTGCTATAAACAAATGGCCAACAATTAGAACTGCACATCTCGGCCAGTGTGCAGCATACTAACAAGAGATTGTTTTTTAAAGATACCTAGTGATAGTGCAGAAGTCAGGAAAGCAGTGCCTTGTTGAGAAGCAGTGGTTACTTTTCGCATCATTACACCAACAAGGTCTCTCTTACCGATTTCATTCCTCAGAAGTGCAGAGTGCGACATGTTGCCTTCATGAGAGTCAGATGCTTTCTTCTTTTTTTTGGGATACTTGTCATGAAACTATAATTTTGTTAGAACAAGATTGTTGCCATTAGTTAAAGGATTGTGATAATAAATACTCAAATAGCACAACTCAGGAGTCAACAAAGTGTAATAAAAGCACAGAAGTGCTTCACATAAAAAAAAAAAGGACTGTGTTGCCTAGGTGTGACCCCTCGCGTGCTGTTCAGTCTGAACTGTGTGAGGGCACCTTAAACCTGGTAGACCTGGATCAAGCAAAGAACTTCTGCTGTAGGAAATACAAAGACAGAATAGACAAGAGTTTTGGTTTTCACGGTGCTCGTAACACAACAGAGTTGTCCCTGGTTAATATCTGTATTTTTTAACAGGACTTTCAAAGAAAACATTCTTGTCTGTTAATTCATCCACTTAACAGATGACTCTCAAGTGTGTTTTAGGTACTGAGCGCCACTCTGACATTGCAGGATGCAAACAGGTCACAAGCGCAGTTCCTGGCCTCCGGGAGCTTGTTCCTGTCATCCTTGTTTGTATGATTTGCTTTACTTTAGTCTGTGCTTCCTGTGTCCCAGAGCTCACTAGGACTTTGTAGCTGTCTTTATGTATTTTTTATTGGCATTTAATATGTGCCAGATACTTTAAGTCCATGGTGAGGAAAGTTGTTTTTTAAAAGTGGGTAGGATGTCAGGCAAGCCATGCAGAGCGAGTAGAAGTTTGCCAGGGAAGGAGGCAGAAGGGCATTGTTTGGTGGGTGGAACATCTTTGAAGATTACATTTGGCAGAAAGGACAGCGGTGAAGAGGCTAAGATGTGCCAGTGAACTTTGCAGGATCTATGAGTTTCGTGTTGGTGGTGCAAAAATGCTGCTGTAGGAATGGTTGGGAACGAGGTGACTATCTAGCTCAGGCACGCTTCTGAAAGCCTTTCTAGTACTATAGAAAGGAGGAGGTCTGCTGTAGACCTTGGGAGATGTGTCAGAATGCTTTCAGCTGCAAATAATAAGAGACCTAAGTAACAGTGGGTACAGCAACAGGAGTCAGGATTGTTTAGAAGGTTCGGTGATGTCATCAGACGCTGTCCCTCCTTCAGCTGTGAGCCTGCTGGTGTTTGATGTCACCTTCCCTGGTCTGCTGATTGGCAGCAGCTCCAAGCGTCATCTTCTCGCATGACAGTATCCACAGGCGAGGAGGGCTGCTTCTCTCTGCATGTTTCCTGTTAACGAGGAAGAAAACAGAGACGCTTCCAGTAGACTTCCCCTAGCATCTTACTGGCTGGGCTACATCGCAGGCTCATTCCTAAACCAGCCACTGGGAAGGGAGATGTAGTTACTGTGATGACTGTTGAATAATCATTTCTCTTTACCTTCTTCTCATACTGGAGCAGAGAACATCCAAGGAAAGTTGCAGTTGTCCGGCAAGGATGACGAAGAAGAAATTGTTGTCGAGTTGGAAACCAGCAATGGCGGCTGCACGGATTCACCGAAGAATATTGAGCAGAAGAGTAAGAAGATTCGATTAGAGTCTTAGGGTTTCCTGTTATGACACAAAGCAGGGATGCACAAGCTTTTTCTGTAAAGGACCGGAGAGTCAATATTTTAGGCCATGTGGTGTCTGTCACATCTACTCACGTCTGCCATTGCAGTGTGAAAGCAGCCCTAGACAGTATGTGAGCGAATAGGGATGACTGTGCCCAGATAACATGAGGCTGACAAAGCCAAATGGGGTGGGTTTGTCCCATGGGTGTCGTCCAGAAACACCACACTGTGTGAGCCTGACGTTGTCAGTTTATGATGCTGATTCTACTAACAATTATCATTTTTTGTGAGTCTCATAAAGTTTGGTTGGGATTTTGGTTCCTGTAAACAGCAGTTCACTTTAAGATATCAAATTTGGATAAACACCCTTTGTTTTTGATAAATATGAAGGAGGGAAGTGGTTTTTATGCATTAATCACCTACCAGGAGTGTACTCAATATTCACTCAAGTGTGTAGTCCCAGGTGTGGTCCCAAAGGAATGCTTTTTAACCAAACATTGGTCTTACACTTTTAATATTCTGTATTTTTCTATTGCTGATATAGAATCTGTTTTACTTTTTTCTTTAATAGCGGATTTAGAGGTTGAGTTTTCACCGAGGTTTGAAGACATCTCTGTCATCGGGTAGGATTTTATGGATTTTTAAAAATATGTTGACTAGGGGAACACAGAGGAAAGAAACAAGGCTTGTTGAGTGTCCTACTCTGGGTTAGACACCGAGTTATGTACTTGACATTTGTTACCTCGTACAGTCACCATAACAGCTTTGCAGAGTAGCTGTGCTCTTCTTGCAGCTTACTGTCAGTTAGGCAGCTGTGGTTTAAGGAGGTGACTAGTTGACCCATGATTCCATGGTTAACAAGTAGTTGACCTGTGACTTAACCATCAGGCAGCCTGGCCCCCAAATCTGCTTTCTTATCCCTCAGCATAGACTTTTGTCACTTTTGTTTGTTTAAAGAAATGAACTCACTCATTTTTGAC